CGTTAATCGATAGTATTTATTAACCTTCTTATATCGTATATTATAGTATTCTCGAGCTAAAAGCTAATTTCTCATAAAGATAGAGGAGTAAGATAAGTTTATATCTTATCGTTAAGTATATAATAATATTTTATAATAAGCTATAGCGAATAATAGTAAGAAGGCTTATCTATATATAAAAGAAGGAGATATAAGTTCTTAAGAATAGAAATAAATAGAGGAAAGTAAGTTGAATAGAGAGGAACGTAGAGAGAAAGATAGAAGGAAGGAGTAGGGCTATTTTTATGGTCACCTGAAACGGCCGAGGGTCCCAGTATCCTCTTTCTCTCTCCCTCTTCTCCCTCTTTCCCTCCTCACCTCTATATCTCACGTATTAAGAATTTTATAAGCGACCTATGATAAAGTAATAAAGATGATTAAGGAGATATAGAAACGACTTAACTCGATACGATTACTAGTACGCAAGCCTATATACAGCCGTTAAGAGATTGAAAGGGAGAGTAAGAGAGTGTATTAGACGTTCAGGCAGCGTAGCGCTTAAATAGGGGACCCTGGTGCAAAAGGTGCTTAAAACGGCGTTTAAGTATGCCGAAAATGGCGACCTTTTTACCCGAATCCAGGTTAAGTAAAGAATAAACTTTATTATCTTTTCTATAGTATTAAGTAAAGCTATTAATTAATATTCTTTAGAAATCGAGTAGTTTTTATTTAACTTTAAAAGAATAATTATTATTAATATTCTAAAGTGCTTTAAATAATAGCCGTTTATTATATATATATTAAATATTCTATATAGATAAAAAAATAACGACTTTAAAATCTTCTTAAGAATTAGATTAAAGATCGCGTTTTCCCTCGAGACTCTCTTTAATAATACTTATATTATAATCTTTCTTATCTTATTTATAATAATTATATTTATTAAATAGATTTATAGATATATTATATTAATATTAATATTATCTAACTTTATCTATATCGATAATAAAAAGAACGTTCTTATAAGAAGATCTACCTTCGAGTTTAATTTATTATATTCTTATTTATCTTTATTAAATAGCGAAGAAAGATATATCTATATTATAAGTTATTTTCTAACTTACTTAATCTTTTTCTATATTATTTATAATAACTTATATATCTCTATTATAAACTCTCTAAACGCCTTTCTAATAATTCTCTTAATTAGATTATTTTTAAAGTTCTTAGCGACTTTATACTTATTCTATACTTTCTTTAAAAGCATTATTCTTTAACTTTTTTTTAGCGATTTATAATACTTTTATACTTTCTTATATTTTAATATAAATTCTAATCTAGATTATAGCGATAATCTAATAATTAAAGTAGATTTCTTTATAGTAGTTTAAATAGAGTTAATAATAGTCGCTATTTAATAATCGATATCATCGTTAATAAGATTTCTATTATTTTTTAGAGAATTAATTAAATACTCTTTCGATATTATAGCTCTAGCGAGTATCTCTCTTAGAATCTCGATATCTAGTTTATTAAAGTTTTAGTATATTATTAATATTAACTCTATTACGACTAGCTTAAGCTTTATAAAAATTAAAAGATAATTAAATTTACTTTTTAAATTATTTTCGATATTATAATTAATAATATTTATTATTAATACTAGAATAATAAATAGTAGATCTATTATTATTTAATAGTTTTCTTTATATATTATTATTTCTATTAGTAATACTTATTTTATAATAAATTCTTTCGTTATAAGTATTAATTCTTCTACTCTCTTATTAATATAAGTATTTAATTTCTCTTATATCGTATAGTAAAGATTAAAGTCGTCTAATATAATTTATTTATTATTTTTAAACTTTATAAGCGTCTTATATAGTTCGTTAAGTTCATCTATTTATTAATTATCGAGGTTATAAATATTATATATATATATAATTCTATTATTTTTAAACTTAATATTAAGAGTATAGAGGTTTAATAAATAATATAATAAATATTATTACTTTAATAATATTCTCTTATTAATATAGAAATATATTTATATATTATTATAATAAAGATAGATTAAGTTAAATCTATTCTTTAGAGAATAATATAATATATTTATATTAATATTTCTTTAAAGCTTCTAAATTACTACTATATTAATATTATAAATCTTTTTATTATCGAAGAGTTCTATTATAATTATTTTAAATTTTCTTATATTATATTATAATATTAATAGCTAATTAGAATATATTACTATTTCTTAATATTATTATTAATATTACTTACTCGCTTCGCCTAGTTTATAAAGTTTATATCTTCTTTTTAAGTATTCTCCTTTTCTTAATTATCGATAAATCGAATATATCTCTTTTTATTCCTATTAACGAAGATCGTAATTCTCTTATTACTACTCTTTTAACTTAGAGACTATCTATTATTCTTAAAATTATTAATTTCTCTTATCGCTATATCGTTTTTATATTATTTAGCTTTATCTATTACTTTAGAGAATAATCTATTTCTAAGCGAGATTCTTATTAATAATATAGAAGTATATCTTCTTTTATTTAATTAAAGATTTAATATAGTAGTTCTTTTAAGATTTAGCTCTCTAATTTCTCTTCTATTAACTATTCTATCTCTATCTACTAGTCTATTATATATAAATACTAGCCTTAAAAAAAATTCTTATTTCGCTTATAATTAAATATATTCTAAAAGTAATTACTTAATTAATCGCTTATTTAATAGCTAGTCGATACTTTCTTTATTATTATAAATCGTAAAAGAGTCTATTATCTCGCCATTCTTATTCTTACTATCTCTCTCTTCTTTATTATATATATCTTATTTTAAGTCTTATATAGTCTCTCGCAAATCGAGTATTTATAAGTATCGACTATATATTCTTTATAATAATACTTCTCTAAGCATTTCCCGTATATTAAGTAATTCTTTTTAAGATATATAATTAATAGATAATTATATTTTCAGTATACGAAGTATTACTTTAATTTATACTATTTATTATAGATATAATAGTTATATAATTTTAAATCGATAACTAGATCTTCTTTTAATACTCTATTTTCTTTCTCTAGAGATATTAATTTAATAATCAATAAACTCTTATTATAACTCTTTTTATTCGCGTTAAATTAGTTTAGTTATATTATATTAAGACTTAGTATATTAATATTCTTATTTTAAACTCTTTTAATTATTATAGTTATATCTTTAATATTAAATATATTAATTCTTACTTTATAAAGTAGAAGATTATATATTTTAATAATTACTCTTATACTATTACTTATCTTTAAAGTTTAATCTTTACTTTTTCTTAATTTATTTATCTTCTTCTTATTTATAATTATAATATATATATTATTACTTATTAGTCTTCTAGTCGTTTTAATAGATTTTCTTATAATATTTATACTTTTTATATATTTATTAATTATTATAATTATCTCGCTCGATATCTTTCTCTTTAATACTTTATTTATTATCTTATCTTATAACTTTATAATAATCTTATTTAGCTTATTATATAATACTTAATCTTATTTTAATATTATTAATAATATAATAGAAATTTCTTTAATAGTAGAGAAGAATATTAAGAATTAGCTTAGTACGCTAATATAGCTAATTATTAATATATTACTTCTTAGACTAACTATCTAATACTTAATATATATAATCTTTTTCTCTATATTATTATCTCGATTACTTAAATTAATAGCTAGTTTATATATTTTATTTAAAATTATCTAGATTTTAAATTTATTATTTACTCTTTTTATAAATATTATTATCGTTTTAAAGATAGTAACTACTTTATTTATTAATAGTTTCTAGTCTTTATCTATTATTTTTAATATAATATTTATCGATAACTTTAATATAAATACGTGCTTCTTAAAATCGTAATTACTATAATCTTATTAGGACTAGCTAATTTTATTTAGTATAATTATAGGAGTATAGACGTCCCCTAAAGTTAATTGAAGAGGTACTGGCCTTACTGAGTGTTTTGAATACGTATATCTACTTTCTATAGCTCAATAATATAGCATGAGCGTTGTGCGAAAGTTTTGGTGATCGTGCGGACCACAAGATAGGGATGAGGAGGTGTTGATTCGTGCATCAGTTAGTGCTAGAGCACAATGAGGGAAGCTCGGAGTTTTCCGCTGCCCGGCATAACATCACGATGATAAACTCCAGCAGGCTGGGGTGGCATGTACTCCAAGAGCGGTTGGACTGATTGCCTTGCGTTGCAATTCGAAACCAACACTAAACTAATGATCAATGGTGAAGCTGAGCACTCGAGGAATTATCATTATTGAAAAGTGTGCGAAATAGCCTCTGTAAACGGAAAGTATGGGTCCCACCACGAGGTCTTCCTTCTTCCTTAGGAGCTCAGCCCCCTATTTTGGTGCCAAGGCGCTACTGACGCCTTATGGCAGTGGGACCAGTTCATGCAGCACAAAAACGTCCTTCAACGAACATGCATATACCCGCATGTCTTCAAGACAGATCCCATCGTATGCCTCTTATAGCTGCTTCTTTTCAACGTGTACCTGTTAATAAACCTTTTCTCCGGTCCGGCTCCAACTCAAGTGGGCAAAGCCGCGCATTCCAGCATAGGTAGCTCTAAGCTTGATCGGGGTTCCCACCTCTCTAACTTTTATCAGGTAAGACTAGCCATACATATGACTTGAATCTACTGGCTTGATCTTGATGCTAAGAGACTCTAGTCTAGTACTTCAAGCTTGGTTGTGGATGCACAATCTGAAAAAGGAACCACAGACAGATTTACCCACAACATCGCCTTACAGCGGTGGGTTTCAGTTGAAGTAGCAAGCATGGTAACTTAGCGTTGTGGTGCGTATGAAGTAGGAAGAGAAGCTAATTCAATGGCAAGTCAACATCAAGGGTTCGCTGACAGCTTCTGCAAATAGAACACATCCATTCCTTCCTCATCTCAGCAGACATTTCTGCCGCTCCCCACTATGGCCAATGCGCACCGCGGCGGGCCTGACAGCCATTCCAATGCTCAGGACATCTGGCTACCTCACCTAGCAGCTACCCCGATGGTCAATTTCCCCGAAATATCGGTTGATGATTGGAACGCTGCAGATACTGCTCAGCGCCTAATAGAGCTTGATGATGAAGCCAGAGCACATACAACCCCAGAAGAGTATTCGGAGTCAAATTCTAGACTTGTTAATGTCTGGGCTCAACACGAAGAAAGGACCCTCGCGCGGTACCGCGCTTTGCACAATCGAAACGATTCAGATGTCAGTCGAGAAAGCACAAACATGCGGACTCGCCCCTTGGACAGCCAGTATGGTTCGGATGGAAATCAGTACAACCCGTATGCGCCGCATACCTCCGAGGAATATATGTTGCAAGAGATAGAAGCTGGGCGGATGGATCCAGAGATGATGGATATACCTCGAGATCCATTGATTCCTGCACAGTCGCCGTTGTCTGAAAACGGCCCTGGTCCACCATTAGCTCATGTTCATGCCGGCAGCCATGCATCGTGGATGGCGCCGGGTCCTCGCCCCCGTGTCAGGCAAGGTCTGAATCGTCCAGGAGTAAATGCCGATCTACCAGCTGCACATGAAGCGTCATGGTTCCAGCATCCTTACGATGGCAGTACGGCCGCCGAGGATCTAGGCGAAGAAGAATACCATGATGACTATCCTGCTATGCTCCCATACCTCGATGTCGGAGAATCCCCAGCCGGCTCACATAGCTCATATGGTACCGCTCCTGACCCTGTCTTCCCTAACCTGGAAAGCCCTTTTGGCATTCAGGGCCCCCCTACCTCATCGCTGGATCCGCCAAGTCTAAACGGGGTTTTTGCATTGGGAGTCCCACGACAGACACGTCCAGCATCAACTGGAAGAGAGAGGAAGCGACTGGCGAAGCCTTCACTAATGGTGAAGCTCGAGACAGATCCTGCGCAGAAAAAGTCGCAAGCCCCTGTATCAATCAGAAGAGGCAGATCTGATGCGTCTTCGTCAAGCGAATCATCCTCCGTCGTTGCCCAGACCACTCAGAATTCGCGTCCCTTCAACCTAAGGTCTCGAGGATCTATGGGTATGAGCTCAACAAATGCTAGGACTCGTGCTGGTTGGGAACCCCAAGCCGTACGGAGACTGACACGAAGAGCGGAAGCAATTCAGAGCCCACATCGAAAGAGGAGGCGTGACGCCGTATCACCTCAAGATGTCAGTACAGAAGAAACTACACTGACTGCGGGCCTACCACAAGGCAAGCAATAACACATATCAGCCCAGCGGATCCCCACTAACACGTTCCAGCTCCCGCAAGTCATGGTCGACGTGCTAGTACTGGAACCTCCGAACCGCAGCAACGTTCCGTTTTGCGTGCTGAAGCTCCTGTATTTGTAAATGGGTTGGCAGCGACGAGTGGACGAACGTCCGAGGACATGGCGGCGCTAGAAGCCATAAGGCTAACCCTTGCTCGCCAAATGGAGCGCCAAGCCAATTACTTTCCTTCTCTTCCTCGACCCTCATCCTATCTGCCACCATTCAGATACCTTCGTACCCGCCGCCTCGTCTTTACCTCTGAGCTTCTCCCTCATAGGTTTGGCGCGCAAAAGCGCCGGGCTATTCTAAACATTTTCCGGACAAAAGCACCGTACATACCAGCGTGCATCAACATTGCTCCTGGTATGCCTAGGATGCAGTATCACGTTTTTGATGAGAAACCTCCAATTGATAATGTGCCCTATCATGCACCACTTGGACCAAATAGGCTGGGTTGGCCAAAGGATAGCCTGCCTCTCGAGGTGTTCCATAACATCGCTGGTCATCTTTCTCGCGATGACCTGTTGCAGATGCGCTTGGTAAACCCTGAATTTGAGCGGAAGACATCCAACATTGTCTTTCATACAGTGGTCGTGCCTTTTCGGCCAGAGATCTATGGCATGATGATTCATGATGGTCCTGCTCTGGACACAAAAATTGACACCAAGGGCAAAGGAAAGGCCACAGGTAGGACCGACCCAAATCCCATGCCGGAACCGATGTGCTGACTCATTGCTTCCAGAAATATATGGACCGGTTGAGCAAGAAAGGACTGTCCATGACGGAATGAAGGTATTCCAAGCATGGGGGCCCCACATCAAGAAGTTTGCAATGGCTTTCGATGTGGAAGAGGGTAAGCTCGTGGCGTGCTCCTCCTGAAGATCTCCAAATCTTACGCTGACCCATCCACAGACCAATTGGTGAAGCCTCCAGTCAAAGGCAAATTCGAATTCTTCTCGGAATTTTGGGGCAAGTACAAATGGCCCCATCCATACTACAGTAGATTCGACTTCTGCGCAGGCCTCGAAAAGAAAGCCGACGAATTCCGATGCATGTCTGCGGCACTTTCCAACCTTCAGGGAGTCCGTGAGCTCGGTGTATCCATCGACAGTGGTCTCGGATACCTTTGTGGACCAGACATCTCTGATCATGCTCAGCTCTTCCAAGAGAAGCCTAAGATCTTTGGTGTCTCAGAAACTCAGAAGAGCTTGAAACTTCTCGAGCGTCAAGGTTTATGGAACGGCATCGTACGCTCGCTCGGTCCCGCCACTGCTACAGACTATGTCATACAAGGGGACACCATCCTGGCCAATCAAACTTCGCTCATGCCAAATGAATTGGGATACTTCGAAGTCCACCTCCACTTCCCGCCAAACCCTCGTTCGGACTCCTGGCTTGTGGGCTCTCCGAGACTTAGAGGCCCTCGCGTCGTGTTCGTCGATGCAAATGGAGACAGGCCTACGGATCGACCTCTCGTCTTTCAAGGTATCAACCTCGCCTACACTCCTCATACTGGTGGAGCGACGGAGGCCCTCACAATCGGAGATGTGAACATTCATGACCCTGCTTCATTCCAGGGGCGGGAAAAGAGCCCCTTTCATACTGCTGCTTTGATTCCCAACAACCTCACGCCTGCACAGAAGGAATGGCTCTTAGAGACCGAATGGGCTCAACGTGCGTTCCTTTCAAGCTACTGCATGGCCTTGACGGACAATTCGCATACATTTCAACATGTGCAGTCTTTCACTGTGGCCAAATTGTCTAGCAGATACCTGTCAGCTCTTCAACGCGAAGACTTTTGGAAAGCTCTTCCGAACCTAAACACCCTGACCATCAACGTCTCCGCCGACTGGCGCAACATTATCAAATCAGACTCTGGTGTTGTTGAAGCTCCAGATATTCGCCCCTCTGGCGCTACAACGCAATTCCACAAGCTTCTTGCGACATGTATTGCTGTTGTTCCAGGGATCAAAACCTTGAGCCTAGGCTACTTTGGTGGTGGGGAGCATCAAGTTGGAATCTTCGGGCGTAATAAGCATATCTTTCCTGCGCCTCTGACCAATTTCTCCGATCACCATGCTGCTACGAGCGTCAATGCTGACATGCTTGCGCTACCACATGTCGAGCACCTAACTCTCACCAATTGTTGGATTACTCCACCTGCACTCAAGACCTTCGTCGCGCAGATGCGTGCAGCCAGTCTGCGTACCCTCACATTAGATTCAGTATCGCTCACAGGTCACTCGGGGGTCCTGGACAACATGGAGCCTAATCCGCTTGATAATGGGGTGCTACGTATTCCCGATGGACCTCCACGACGATTCGGCGATCCTGCTGTGGGAAATCTATTCCAGCAAAGAGGCAGTGCCCCAGATCCACGATCTGACGGGACTGGATGGATGGTCGAATCACGTCGCATCGGCTCCTGGGGCAATGTCATCGACGCAATCACTCCAGGGCCTACCGTCAACCTCTTGCGCTACGCCTATCAACACCTCCACGACGTGCCTAAAATGCGTAACCCAGGTCCACTTGAGCGTATTAACTTCGTCTCATGCGGCTATGTCAAGCTTGTCAATATGAAGGACTTCAACCAAGCCTTCCTCGGCGAGGTCAACAACAATCCTCCCCATTGCCTTCGCAAGCGTGCTCTCGATTTGATGCCTATTATGATGCATCGCAATGATGACCCTCTTCTGGGACAAATCATCCCACTGTTGCACGACCACGAGCTGGAGGTTTTTCAGACTGCCTTCCCCATGGAGACCAATTGGAAGGATGTGACTGAATGGGACAACTGTCAGGACGGGCAACCCATCGGCGGATCCGGTCGCTTCAGTGGCCATGTGAAAAAATTGATTTTCCCTACCGAGTGTTGATCGTCTCCATCAATTTCATGCCAAAACTACAGGACCCTCGTCACTTGGTATAACCTTCAGCCCAACCTCCCGAACCTACGACGTTCTCGATTATCATGCTCGTTCAACGTTACAAAAGTTCGACAGATAGATCAATGCGAATACAACTCATTGATGGGCTTTTGAAGAGCTCTGCTTCGCTTTACGTGCTTCGGTCCACACGAGCAGCATTCCCAGCCCACCACCTCATTCCATACCTCAGCACACGACTTCAACGCCGGCACAACCGATGAAACCTCCACACCAAGGCCTGTCAATAGTTTGTCTTAAGATCCCCACGTCTTTGACGTGATCCGGCATTATTTACCTAGCCGCATTATGTCCTCAGCAGCATCATCTAACCTATTTCAGCGAGCCAGATGAGAGACGCTATGACGGATATAGATTACATGATACAGCATATCTTCATGCTGAGATTATTGATGAGCTTGAACACAAAGCCAATTCGATAGATATCTTTTTATGATGGGTGATGGTAGAGTATTCTTTTACCGCTCCTCTGTGAGAGAGCTTCATGCTTGTACATACGTTTTACCAGCGATACTCAGCCCATTGATAGATAGCGTTTGCAAACCAAAAAAGACTTCATTGAAATTGTGCCTCCTCTAAAGAGAACTGATTCAGAGCGTAGTGCTTGATTCTAGGTTGATAAAATCCTCTCCGGCTTGCAATGATATGATGGTGACTAGCTAGCTAGAGCATTTTAAGCTAAGTAGCTAACGATCAGAACCTTTTCGGCACCAACACCCGCAATCTATCCCTGCGTAATAGTCCTCCTCAACCTCACGCCGCGCTGCCTGCTGTTCAATCTCTTCTTCTCGATCTCCGCGACTTGAGGGCCCTTCTGCACGACCTCTTCACCTTCCGTCAGAATCAACTCAATGTGGCACGGGTTTGACATATAAGGATTAATCTGTAATCGCTAAAGTTAGCAATGATGGTCCCAAAGATCCTACTGTGTCAGACTCTGAGTGCGCAGTAGGGGGTGACATACACGACCATGAGCACGGTAGGTACGACGGCGCTGCTTGGGGGCCTGGTTGACTTGAATATGCTTGACGATCAGGTTGCCAGTGTCAAGGCCTTTGGTGTCTGCGTTTGACTCGGCATTCTTGAGGAGACTGAGGAGGAACTCGGCGGACTTTTTGGGCCAGCGGGCTTTGGAGACACCGAATTGTTTGCCTGTCCGTTACCTCAACGTCAGCATCGCATTCACATAGTTGTATGCAGAGTAGCGATGTAGAGCTATCCGAAGCTCAAGAGTCCCAGTTTCCCTTTCCCAACCCAATTTCCACTCCACCGGCGTCCTCCTTCCCAGCCCTATCCCACCAAGATGGCACCATCCCACGTACCTTGCGCAGTCCTCCCCGTACTTCCAGCATACCGCCTCATGGGCACCGCCTCTTTATGATCGATCACATTGCCCAAATATGTCAGAGCGCGCTCGAGCTTCCAGCCATTGATAGCCTGAGCCGTTTCGCGGGTATTTTTGAAGGAGACGCGGAGATAGGAGCCGTGAGCGCGGGCGGATTTGCCTTGCTCGATCGTGGTGGCTGCGTAGCGGACCTAGAAGAGGAGGAGCGGATTAGTCGGCGTAGAATCAAGAATGAGACACAGGTGATGATAGAGATGCGTGATCGAGGGCAGACGATTCGGCGGTGCTTGGTGCGTTTGGAGTAGTGGAAAGTACACGGTAGGAATCATCAGGCCCGGAGGAAGAGTAGCTTACCATATTGATGGTGCCTTGACTGTTGTCGTTGTTGGTGGTCCTGCTGAAGTTGGCGGGCGTTGACGATGCTCCAAATTCAGAGTCGCTTAGCATTTGTGTGCCGCTAGTCTGTTTAGAGACTAGCAGATCTGGAAAATGATCGTCCGCGAACTTTTGCTTCGAGCTCTCACGATATCCAATTGCTACCAAATAATTTATCAGAGCCCGCGACATGGCGCGAGGTATGTTTCCTACGGATAATCAAGGCCTCTCTTGAGTCCCAAGCTTGCTGACCAGCTTTTGCTTCGCAGAATTGAGGACCACATGCTGGATATCCTAGTCACAAAAATTGCAATTTCCAGAATTGGGAACAAAATTACTACAACAACCACAGATCCTTCCCAAAAACCTATGCTATTGCCGTAACTCTCGAACATCCATAAACATACAGGATTATGGCATTTACACCCAGAGGTCGCGGTGGAGACCGTGGAGGATCGAGAGGAGGAGATCGAGGTGGATTTCGTGGAGGCAGAGGTGGTGCGCCTCGCGGTGGTAGTAGAGGTTAGTCTTTTCGTATGGTCCCTGTGGTTCCTGGTGCCGCTGGGCTGCATGACGTTCATGTCACCATGCTTGCACTCAGTCAGACAGACAGCTACGCGGTGTCTAGGGAGCTCTTGCTAAAGCATTCTGCCTAGGTGGATTCGGCGACCGAGGAGGTAGAGGTGGAGGGCGAGGAGCACCAAGGGGTCGTGGCGCCCCTAGAGGAGGCGGCCGTGGAGGTGGAAGGGGAGGAAGCGCATTTGGCGCAAAAGGCGGCGCAAAAACTATTATCGTACGTTTAGGGGCTTTCCCTTACAAGACAAGAGCTCAGGGTTTGTGCAGGAGCCCCATAGGCATCCGGGAGTCTTCGTCGCTCGTGGAAAGGAAGACATGCTGGTAACGAAGAACATCACACCAGGAGAGTCAGTCTACGGGGAGAAGAGAATCTCAGTGGAATCTAGCGCAACAACTGGTCTTACAAACGGCGACGCTGCGCCAGCCACCAAGACGGAATACCGTGTCTGGAATCCTTTCCGCTCCAAGGTATGAATGCTGTTGGCAAGAAAGAAACCATATAGTGACAAACCATAGCTTGCCGCAGGTATCCTCGGAGGTCTTGATGAGATCTTGTGAGTAATCCTTCCCGACTGGTTGGCATCTTCAGCCTCTGACGTCTCCGGTAGCATCCGCCCAGGCGCGAAGGTCCTCTATCTGGGAGCAGCAAGCGGCACATCCGTCTCTCACGTTGCCGATATCGTTGGCCCTACAGGCACAGTCTTCGCGGTCGAATTCTCCCACCGCTCAGGTAGAGATCTCATCAACATGGCCACACACCGCACAAATGTCATCCCAATCATAGAAGACGCCCGCCACCCTCTCCGCTACCGCATGCTAGTATCAATGGTCGACGTCATATTTGCCGATGTGGCGCAGCCTGACCAGGCTAGGATAGTTGGGCTGAACGCCCATCTATACCTGAAGGTAGGGGGAGGAGTCGTGGTCTCAGTCAAAGCCAACTGTATCGACAGTACGGCAGCCCCAGAGGCCGTTTTCGCGAGGGAAGTTCAGAAACTGAAGGAAGAGAGGATCAAGCCATTTGAACAGTTGACATTGGAGCCTTTTGAGAGGGGTGAGTGCTGCCTTTCATGGTTTTGCTTCAGACTGACACGGTTTTATAGATCATTGCATTGTGACGGGCAGATACGTGCGTTCTATGACTTGAACAATATCAGGATATGTGAATGGGAGGTGACAAGCCTGCATGCTTCTCAGGCGCCGGAGCTCGGCGATTGTAAATCCCTTCTGCAACGATGTAGATTTACTACAATCAAATGTTCGTTACTACGATGCCCATGACGCTAGGTCTACTGTCCGTGATAGTAGTGTGGTTGAAAACCATAGAAGGTGAGTCAAACATCCAGCGGCCAGGATCGAAGAACTAGATCATAATCGTATGGGAACACGCTACACTTAGTATGGGCCACCCCAACGCTAAGGCCACCCCAACACCAATTTTCTCAATTTTTTGACCCATCCATCCCCCACCTATCTACCACAACCACAACGATGCCTAACTCATATACCGTTATTCAAGAACATATTTAACAGGCCTTAGTCTCTATTGCCCCCGGAATAAAGCCCAAAGTCACTCGATTGATTACTTAATTTAACGTGCCTTACGATTAGCTCCTATATCGCTATAATAAGATCCCCCTTAAAGATAATCACTCTTACGCGCCCATAGATCTTAAAAAATAGATTCTTTATTAATACATATAACGACTCGATAGATCGGGAATATCTTATTATTATCTGATGTTTATAAAAATTATAATTTTTTTTTAGATCTACTCGTTAAGCGAGAATTAGATATTATTTAATAAGTTATAATAGTCTAAGTAACTCGAAAAGTAAAATCAATACGATGATTTAGAAGAGAGGTATTATTATTCTTATTAGGCTCGGTCTTAGATTATTATATATAAGAAAATAAAAATTAAAAGAACTTTAAGAGCTTTAAAGTAGGTAAATACTAAGAAGTCTCGGATATATAATATATTTATAAATAAGAATATTAAGTAATTTAAGACTACTATATAAAGAATTAGAAAGTTAATTAAGATTAAAGTAATTAAAAAGATTAAAATAGATTATAGTAGATAGCTCTAAATAAATATATATATAGGTAAGTAGAAGTTAATAGACGTAACTTTCTTATAAACTTTTATAGCTAGTTTATATATAGTATAGCTTAATCTAGTAAAATAAATATTCTACTATCGTAGACTTTCATAGATTCTATATCCTTACTACCTACTCACGATTCTCCTTTTAAATCTAGCGATATTAGGGAGACTTATAGTGGCCTTATAAGAGATCGATTGATTTATTCTTCTTATCTAAGTCTGTTCTATTAGTGTAAAACTTATTATAATTAAATCTACTTATATAACTATATAACCTATTTTCTTATTTTTCGTATATCTAAGATCCTTATTTCTATACTTCTTTATATATCTCTATTCTTATATCTTATTATATAATCTTATTTATATCTTACTATACTCTAGAGTTATTAAAGAAAGTAATTTCTCGAAGAAAGTCGTAACGTTATCGTTCTTCTTATCGCTTTTCTTATCGTTTTTCTTATTTCTTAAAACCTTTTTTATTAGTATTATTCTTTAAAAAGTCTTTTATAAATTATCGTTATTAGATTAATTCTAGTATTTATATTTTTATCTCGAAAAATAAAAAGAATCTTATTAAAAGAACTTACGTACTTCTACGCTCTTAACTATCTAGACTTTTTATAAGATTCTATTATTAAAAGTCTAACTAATTTTATAAGCTTATACGACGAGAGAATATTTACTTCTTAGTCTAAGTCTATTATATTTTTTATTTCTATACTATCTCTTTTACTATTTTAAGAAGCTATCTTAATTATAATAATTTCTTTCTTTGCTTTTTATAAAAGATTTATAAAAAAGGATATATTAGTTTTTCGCTAGTTAAAGATCTTAAATTATAAACTTACTTCTTTAAGAAATTTAGACTTATTATCTTTATAAGCTTATCTTAAATATTTAAATCTTCTTCTTTTTAAAAATGCTATTAAATAAATAAAGTCGAATCTTAAAGCTATTTATCTTCTTAATAGTATCTCTTCTACTTAAATAGTTATAAATTAATTTATCTTACTCTTTAAGTAGAGGTTTTCCGCGAAGATTATTAAAGTAATATCTCTTATATTTAATATCGAGCTCGCTAAACTATAATAGCTATCTTAAAAAACTATAATCTTTTATTATAATAAGACGCTTAATCTAATATAAAAGTATAATATTAAGAATCGTAGCTCGATAGAGCTTCTATCTCTAATAGAGAGTTTCTTATTAATATATTTCTATATATATAGATTCGTAATCTAACTAATATCTCTATTAAACGTAAGTATACTTAAGTATATAAGATCTTCTAATTAATTACTTAGAATACTCTATAATATAGTCGAATCTATATATCAAGTTAATCTCGAGATTTAGAAGCTTTTTAAGAATAAAGTTAAAGAGAATAAGCTTTAATTTTATAAGGAGATTATTTAGAGAAATATACTTAAGACTTAGATCGATACTCTACTTATTATATATTATATTAAAATATATAATAAGAGTTAACTTTAGAAGCGTAATAACTATTTTAATTATTAATTTTCTTCTTTATATTAGTTTAAGAAATCTAAGATATCTATATTAGTATTATCTTTAATACCTTCGATATCTTCTTAGAAATCTCTTATAACGAATTCTAATCGTATAAACTAAAGACCTTTATATCGAAATTAATTATTCTTTTAAGATCGTTTCTATTACTAATAATCTCTTTTAAAGAATCTTTCTAATCGTAAGACTTCGAAGAATCTTTATATTAATAAATCGAAGTTCTTTAATTATAGAGTAAACGGTTATTTATATATTAGATATAGTTATTTAAGTTATATTATAAAAGACTATATAAACGAGATACTTTCTACTTAAAAATAAGTATATCTAAAAGATATCGTATTTAAGAATTTATTTTAAGTAAGCTTTACTATAGTAGGCTTCGATAACTACGATAGTAATACTTCTTCTTATAGAAGTAGCTTATCTTCGAAGTCTTCTATAGTTTATACTTTATCTACTACTAGTTTATTCTCTAATTTATATATTAACTCGATAAATTTTATTTATATTAATATTATTAGTTTATTTCTTATTAAGTTTATTAAGTTTAAGAGTATTATAGTAAATCTCGAGAAAGAATTAGACTTTAATAAGAGATCTCGTATTAAGAATTCTAGATTCTTATTTTAGTAGTAGTAGTTCGTATCTTAGTATCTTATAAATTAAAGAATCTAGTATTTAGTCGAGTTAATTCTATTAGTTTTAAACTATTTTATAATAGTCTTTTATAGCTATATTTAAGAATAAGAAACGTCT